TTTTTTTTAGCTAATGGCTTCTGATTAATCCAAACTGGGGGATTTTAAGACTAGAAATCCATAGAGAGATAATATTTTATTTATTAGCTCTTGCAAATTTCAAGTACTAATGAAGACAATTTATATCAAAACACTTCTCTACAGGTTACTGAGTGTCAAGCACCACTCTCAGAGCTCAACCAATATTAACCACTTTGAACATGACAGCAAGCCCCAGACTGGTCACGCCGTTTGCCAGGGCCCTGCCTCTGAGCTGGTATTCTCTACACCGTGGGGTCTCTCCGGCAGGGCACGGCCTGTGCCCTGGATTAAAGTTCCACATATGGTTACCAAAAAGTCAGGAATCTGCACAGAAGAAAATAAACCCAGTAAGATGTCAGGTCCCCAGCTACTTTATTCCGATAAACACCTTGACCTTTGGAGATACCATATTTGCCAGTAACTCCCTGGATAGGCTGCTTAACTGTAAGAGAGGGTCAGGTGTGGAGGGAGTGTCTCCGGCAGGAGGCAGGAAGTCAGTCTACCAATGGTAGTGGACCAGTAAGCCCTGGGAAGAAGGCGGAGGCTTCAGCAATTGTAACAGTGGACAAGTATAAAGTAAGACAAGTCCATTGGTGGAGTTTGAAAACATCACAAAGGAAAGAAGATTGACGCTCATCTTTTGGGAGCTCTGTTAGCGTGCCTAGTCAATGATTTTCATATTTTTAGGTAAACTAAGTGAGGATTACATGTAATGGTAACTAAATACTCAAGGAATCAGGTTGCCACTGTATGTTTGAAAGGAGATCTACCCAATATCCAGGCCCCCTTGTCTCTGTCTTCACAACCCTGATCGTTGGCCCATGATAAACAAAGTTTGTTTGGTAAACTGTTGATGATGACTATTGATGATGACGTCCACCATCCAAGTGCTGGGTCAGCTACTCATGTGAGACTATCCCAGTCCTCAATCGAAGACGTACATGGAGGGGCGCCTGGGTGCCTCAGTCAGGTCAGGATCTCTCGGTCCATGAGCTCGAGCCCCGCCTCGGGCTCTGTGCTGACAGCTCAGAGCCTGCTACGGATTCTCTCTCTCCCTCTCTTCCTGCCCCTCTCCCACTCACAGTCTGTCTGTCTCTCTCTCTCTCTCTCTCTCTCTCTCTCTCAAAATAAATAAATAAACAAACAAACAAATAAATAAATAAATATTAAAGAATTTTTAAAAAAGACATACATAGATATTTATATTTTCTAATTCCCAGTCTTCTTTTCGTAAAAACTGTGTTCAAAATCAAAAGGATCTATTTAAAAATGTCACCTTTACTTCACATTTGTCTCAGTGTTGCTGTCATGGATACAGCATTTCCATGTCTGTCTTCCCTGTGGTTGGACATACATACTTACTCTCATTGCAAGATGAGAGCCCCAGGGAAGGGAGATCACCGCTCAGCATATTTAGGGATGCCATTCAGATCCACCAACATGCCTTCCCCAGAACTGATAGACTCGTGGGTCAAATGCATCCCAGCAGCTAGATTTTCACATACTTGGTTCTCCCACAAAGAGGTCACCTTGACAGGTTCTGCTCTAAACAACAAAGTTCACATTCAGGGTTTTGCTGGAATTATTCATTCGTCCCACAAAACTGCATTACTTAATTTTTTTTTAAACCTGTTTCATTAATAACTTATACAATGTTGAAATCCAGATCACGATTCCCTAGCTTGGGCGGTCACCATACTTACTGGACTGGATTTTTTTAAGACTTTAGATTTTTCCTCCTATCAACTGTATCCTTGACACATAAAATTTTTCTATGTTGGTGATTAAAAAAGCAAAAAAACGTATTCCGCACAGGTCCTGAGAGCTCTCTGAAAGAAGGCCTTCCACAAGCTATTTTGCCTAATGAGAACACTGTTAGAATAGCAATAAAGCTTTTTAATGTGACTTCGTGGAAGAAGGGACAGTGTTTGCATTATGACTTCCAGATATAAGAAGTTGCCATTTCAATAGGCCACAAACGGTCAGGGATTCGAATTTCATCTGCTTACACACATATTATTTGACAAGTGTGTTATAAAATCAGTTGTTTCTTTATAGCCAAACCTCAGCTACAGTAGCATAAAATGTGAGTGACAGAGAAGTCCGGCCGGATGTGGGAGCTTACGTTAACACCCCGTCATGACGATGGATGTAAGGTTTCCTGGGGAGAAAGTGGGTTTAGTGAGCTGCACCCCGAAACAGAAAAGAATCCCAAAGGAAATGTATGCTGGTTAAAACATCGGTCCTAGAACCAGACAGAGCTGGCATAGTATTCTGGCTGCGTCGCTTAGGCAAACTTTTCATCTCTTCAGGCTTGGTTTTCTTATCTGTAAAATGGGTAATAACACGAACTTTTTAGGGTTGTATGAGAATTAAGTTCTGTAGTGTATTTACTCAGCCTGTTGGGTAGCACATAGGTATCAATGAATAGAGAGTAACTAATGCTACCACTCAATGAATAGCGACCTGTAACCTGGAAGCCATCAGGACTAACATGCATGAAATTGCACGGCACTTGACATTTAGTCGCCTTTCCTGAGTCTCCACGTACCAGAAGCAGCTCCATTTGGAAAAACCATCTCTGTTCTTAAATAGTTGACGCCCGAGAGGAAGGACCAGACCCAAGGGTAACTGAAGTGCATCGCACTGTGTGTGTGTGCTGTGATTGAGGGTGAATCCACTTCTGCAGACTTGCTCTTACCTAGCACGATCCCATAGAGCAGCTGGAATTAAATCCCCTTGCTAGAAAGCCACGACCCCCAGCACTAAGTACCCTTGTCCACTTTGCAGCAACCTGCGGAGGGACACTGAGCAGCATGGGGGGAGTGATCTTGAGCCCAGGGTTTCCGGGCGCGTACCCCAACAACCTGGATTGCACCTGGAAAATCCAGCTACCTGTTGGCTATGGTAAGTAAAAGTTGTTTTTTTTATTATTATTATTATTTAATTCCTGTAATTTCAACTTTGTCATTTCTATCTTGGAAAGAATTCAGCTGAAGGAAAAAAAAAAATGTGCCTTATTCTGTTGACATAACTGTCTTTAATTGAAAGTGGCTTACAGATTTAAATAAAGCTTTGGCAGAATAACTTCAAGAACAGAAAGTTATTAAAAAATCAATTCAGCCATGCAGCTCTTTTCAAGGCAAATTAAATTAGATGGATGATGATATAGTAGGCACACGAGGTATATGTAGCATCCCTAATTCAATTATCCCTCTCTTTATTCATAATACCACCTTTTAGAATCTATTTCTGGAATTTAATAATGGTGGTTGTTTCTTTGGAACAATTTGTAAGGCTTTTTCAGGTTGCGACATATTTTATTACTGTTCCATAAGTTTTTGTAATTATGTATTGCATTGATTTCGGTTTATGAAAATGGCTTTTTATAAGATTTAGTTATGAACTTTCAGGATAGCCACCTTAAATAATTCATGACATTAATTGTTATGTACAGTAAAATCTCATTATGGCCTTTTCCAGAAACGCACGGTCTTTGTGAAATTTTGATTCCCCGCCATGCCTTTCCTTGTCTGCGCCATGATTTCCTTCATGGTTGAGTTCATTAATTTGGGTTTTCCCCACCTGTGATTTTTCTCCAGAGCACACACTGATAGGTGTACCAGGTCAGGTCCTTACTGAATGTCCTCGTGCATAGTGATTGAGGACGTCTACGTGAAATGTTAGTTGGATGATGAATGAACTTAAGCCCAAGTGGAAGTCGCTGCCCTAGATCATGTTTTTTTATTAGGTTTTCAGAGCTTTGGCTGAAAAACCTGTGTGCGGGATGGATGCAGCAGCAGTGATGTAGAACACGGAGCAAGGAAGGGTCCCCCTGCTCAGCAGAGAGGAGCCAGGAGGAACCCCGGGCAGGAGGGCCTGGTGGGCATCGGTCGGGCATGCGAGCACAGTCACGCTGTGGACCGACCCCGAGTGTTCCACCAGGGAGGGAGGGGAGCGTGGAAAGGCGCTCCCCCTGGGGAGAACTCATGGGAGCTTCCTGTCCGCTGAGGTCCCTAAGGGGCCAGCAGAGGTCGAATGGGACAAGGAAGGGGAGAGACCACCAAAGGTTACAGAGGCTGTTTCTTCCAGGTTTTATTTTGGCTTTGTTTCTTAGACCATAAACTCTCTGAACATAGGGAAATACATCTGCCAGGTGCTTAACCAGCATTAGCTCAGTTACTCTCAAAAGGCCAGCCTGTTTTCCTAGCATAGGGGTCTGAAGACAGGGTTCGTACAATCTTTGAGTCAGGCGGTGGAGGTGGGATCAAACATACACGTGACCCAGGCCATTCCAGCAGGGTCCTCAGGCCCTTCAGGGTCACGGGCTCATCAGGCAAATGACCACACCGGTTAAACGCAGAGATTCAGAGAAACGCGGGCCCCCGCAGTCTGAGTCGGGTGTCGCACGATCTACCAAGATGGGAGGTGTGCCTGTCTCATGGGAAAAACCTACAGAGCCGCAGAGGGTTCCGGTGAGGACTCGCTAAAACAACCCAGGAGGAGTTTAGCACCGGGCTTGGCGGGTCAGAAAAGGCAACAGCAGCCAACGAAGAAGTCGGCTGTTTTTTTTTTTTATTATTATTCCAAGTATTTCCCACTTTGCTTTCAAGTCTCATTAGAAATATATTATTCCGGAAGGGGTATAAATATTCTATTAACTTATTTTCCCAATTTGACCATTCTGTGATTGAAAAGGTTATTGTTTGGCATTTTTCCTTATGTTGTTCGTGCATAAATAAACCAGCATGAAAGATAATAATTCAGGGGGAAAAGTCAGTCAAGTTGTCTGACTTTGTGATCATGATCTATGAGCCCAAAGAAAATATTTATTTGAAGAAAGACCAAAATGGGAAAAAAGATTTATGAGATGTTATAATTAAAATAAATTAAGTTTTTAAATATTTGGTACTGCATAATTTTGGGGTTTGAAAGTATCTTGAAGGAAAGGCGAAAAGAAACCTTGTGGCTTAAATCCTAAATACATACAAGATAATATCATTAGCCCTAGATTGTTAGAATGATGTAATTATGCCCCAGGATGCAGTTGACTCTTGAATAACCTGGAGGTCAGGGGCGCTGACCCTGCAGAGTTGCAAATCCACTATGACCTGAGTCCACAAAAGCTTAGTTAATAGTAACGTCACCATTGACCAGAAGCGTATCGATGACATGAGTACGTATGGTGTACGTTATATTTTGTAGTATATACTATATTCTTACCATAAGGTGAGCTAGAGAAAGGAAAATATCATTGAGAACATCTTAAGGAAGAGAGAACACACTTAGGGTCCCGTACTGTAAAAAAGCTGCACAGAAGTGGACCCACACAGTTCAAACCGTGTTGTTCAAGAATCAACTGTAAATTACAGATTAAATGTAATGCACCGGGTTTGCCGGAGATACATTCTAGAATCTATAAATATCCTTCTAAAAACGAAGTTACAAATTTAGAGGAAAGGCGTCTAAGTGGTGGTAGGTCCCCCGACAGGGATTTTTCCATCCCTGCTAGAAATGCCTTCTGAGGCCTACAAAATGACCGCACTTTTTGCTGATGTTGAGAAAACTTTACAGCCTAGCTTTCAACTCCATGGGAGAGTTTTGAAACTCTTAAGTAAGTTAATTTTATCTCTTTCTGGTCTTTTATCTCTGCCGGTTCTCCCTTGTAATAACATGGCTCAAAACACCTCCTCTCCTGTGGTCAAAAGCACGCATTTGAGATCCGCGTTTTCAGCTGCGTGTGACATATTTTCATCTGGGGCATCTGAAGGTGTCACGGACTCCATTCAAATTCAAATTCATCACTTTCTTCTCTCCCTTTACTCGGTTTATTCCAGAGTGGATTCTTCTGTTTCATTCCCTGTCTGTATCTACAGCATGACCCTTCCCTGGAACTTTTCTTTCCCTCAGTCTTACCTTAGCAGTAATTCCTCCCAGGATCTCCCAAGTCATAGGCAAACATCAGATCACTAGCTTGGAAATTTTGAGATAGAAAGTTTGGGTCTGAAACTCAGGAAAGGGCAATTTTGTGTTAAACACTCTGGAAGTTTCTTATTTAAAAAAAAAAACAGATAGGAACATAGCAAAGATGACTATCCTATCCCTTCATGATCATCTCTCCCTTTTTTAAAATGTTGATTTATCTATTTTAGAGAGAGAGAGAGTGCACTTGTGGAGGAGGGTCAGAGAGAGAGGGAGAGAGAGAATCCCAAGCAGCCTCCATACTGTCAGCAGAACCGGGGCTCAGTCCCACAAACCATGAGATCATGACCCAAGTCAAAGTCAAGAGTCGGATGCTTAACCGACTAAACCACGAGGCGCCCTTCATTTCTCCCCCTTAATCTCCCACATTGTGTCCTATCAACACCAAAATCTTAGGATCGTTCTGGAACATCTCCTGTAATTACCACCCAGGACACAGCTACTATTTTCCCAGTGGGACAAGGAGGGAGATTGGGATGACATGTTTCTATGGATGACACAATAGATGTTTTACCTGGAAAACTTCTGCTGTTAAGATGATCTTGGCAACCAAGTTGGAAGATCATAGTAAGAGATATTTCCTCCTTGGAAGGACAACGTGATGGGTAATTCACATCAAGTGCGGTAGACTTACCAGCTCTTCCAAGTGAACATGCACTGGGCGTGTTGCTGTCACTGCTCACGCCTGCTCCTGTCCCAGATCTCCTGCCTCAGGGACTGCCTCTGCGTGTGCATCGGGGGCGGGGGGTGGTGGTCTACTCCTAGCCCTTTCTCAGTCTAAACAATAGAGGTTGTAGGGTCACTGGGAAGTTCATCAAGAAGAGGGCACCGTGGGAAACTTGCTTGCATAAGACCCAACGATACGGTCAGATTTATTGTGAATGTGTACTTAAACTTGGAACATTAAATGCCAAGGAGAATGATTGCTAAGCCCAGGGGTTCTGAAATTTTGCTTCACGTGAGAATCCCAGGTGGGAGTCACGTTGTGACAGTGAACTTCCTGTGGCTTGCCCCTTGGTGCCCTGTCTCAGCCCCGCTGGCCACACCAGGAAGAGTACTCAGCAGGGTTTTTATCTAGCACTTCGGGTATTTCGGATGAGGGAGTCACAGGTTTTGGGAAGCATTTCTTCAATTTAGGGAAGACCACTTGTAACTGAAATAAGATGAGAAATGCACAAATGTTTTTGTCATAAGATTCTTATACATTTTATTTTCAGTATAAATTGCTTTACCCAAAAGTGTAGAAATCCAGAGGTTTTGACACCGTGGAGTAGAGATAGAATATTATTTCGTATGAAACCGTATGATAAACCAAAACTTTAACATGAATTACAAAAAAAAAAAAAAAAAAAAAAAAAAAAAAAAAAAAAAAAAAAAAAAAAAGGGAATTGCTACGGTTATTACAGAGTTTTCTTTAAAGTAAGTTCTATTTCCATACTTTTAAAGTTAGTTCTCTCATTTCTTTAAACGCGATCTCAAATATCTGCGTGTACATTCCTGTGGTCTCGATTTTCAGTTCTGGTGGTGGGTTGCTTGGGGCATTCGTGGCTGTGCTGCCGGTAAACACAGATGAACCCAGTTCCTGCAGCCACAGGGATAGTCCACGGAGGCAAAACGTGGTATCTTTGCCTTTCTTGATGAATTTCGTTCAGGGAGGATTTTACTGGGGTGCTTTGAATCATTCCCTACCACTGGATTGCCCAGGACCAGCTGAGAGGGATTATCCGATCCATTAGTTAAGCAGCTGCCAGCTTAGTCAAATAATTCTTTTGATTCTGTCATTTCTTTCCAATGCCTGTGGATCAATCGATAGTTTAATTAAACAGGCAAAATGATTAGTTGCTTCGGCAACATGTGAAAACCACCTTTGTCTCACGTTGCTGTTATTTGTCCCGGTGACAACAGTCTCCTGCATCCAGTCTCAGGGAGAGAACGCAGCTCTTCTATCCAAGTGCTGGAGGGACTTTGCGCGGAGGGGTGGGTGGGCAGGAAGTATGGCGAGTGCTCACATCTGGGGGCTCCGAGTTGGGTTGACTAGAAAGCTTAGTTCCATCAGTCGCTGGGGTTGTGAATGTGCCCAAGTTACCAACAGTGTTCTTGAACCTCATTTCCTTATCTTTAAAATAAACATAATAAAACATCATCTCATGGGGCTGCTCTGATTAATGCAGATGCCCGATATGGAGCAGGGCATTATTTGGCCGTCAGCGGCTCTTAGTTACAAAACCAAATGCCCTAGTGATTTTTACCCTGTTTTCTTTCCTTGTCACAGATTTCGGTTGATATTTTGGGTTGCTTTGGCACAAGCCCCATCGACACAGAATTTCTGTCTCTACTTTCTTGAAATTTTCTAAAGGCACAGTCAACAAAAATACCACCGTGATTTTTTTTTTCCTTTGTCTCTGCCTTTTCTGTTTAAAAACCACTGCACCAACTTTGCAGGCCACGCTGTCCAAAATGACCATGTCTTTGACCATCTAGAGGCGTATGTAGGCAGGCGATAAAGGATACTTCAGAAGAGTCACTCTTGCCTTGCATTTATTATGCACAGAAGATAGTAAATACAGCACTTAATATTCACAAGGTCTATCATCCAAAAAAAAAAAAAAATGGAGGTTTCACTCAGAAGTCAGGGTCACATTACTTTTTAAAGTTTTGTCAAATCCAAAGTCAAACGTTCTTTGTGCAGGTGACTTTTCCTGACACTTAATTTTCAGTGTGAACGATACTCAGAGCACAACAATAAGGTGCTCCGTAAATTCCACCAAATGGACATTCAGATTGATTTTTCTTGTTGTAATAACACATTTTTGTCAGCATTTCATGAGATAATGAAAGGATAGCTAGGCTATGCTTATTCCAATCCCTTCATTTTGGCTTTATGATGTCAAACTGGACGCAAGTCACTGAAAATTAGATAGCTAAGTAATTCCATTTTAAACCAGATTAGAACTGGGCTCTGTTCTGTTCCATCTCCTGATGTGCGTTAAGAGGTTTGATATGTGGCTGGATACTTTATCCTGATTAAAATGCTAATTTTTTCATAAGACCATAATTGCCATAATTCTGTTCCATTTCAAGTTTAATTCCAAGTCCGTAAAAGGCCACCTCTACTGTTGCCTTCACTTGGAGATATTGGCCATCTTTAACTTTTGTTCCCCCTTGATCTGCTTGCTGGCTTTCATTTCTTCCTTGACTGTGTCATTCTATGAATTTCAAAACGTATCTCTGGATAAATGCATCTGAAGTCTGCATATGAACATCTGAAACGAGCGTATTTTAAGCCGTTTCCCTGCTGTTTGATTTGATACCCAGATCGCGAGTGCGTTCTGCAAGTGTCTAGTCTTGCCCTACTTTCCCATGTTGTACATACCTTGGGACATAAATAAAATGTCAGCGATTCCGCAGTTGTTTGCGTTCATCTTCATGGTGACCAACGTGTTGGTGTTCATAAGCCTTTGCAGACCACAGCGGTCAGTGGCCCCGACTTTGGCACGTGTGCACTCAGAAAAAGGCTCCGTTAGAACAGTTTCATTATTAGTATCAAAACCCTTTTTGGTCAGATCCACGGGCCATGATGCAAAAGAAGGCTGTGTTTCTAACTCAACACTGGGTGAGGGACTAAATCCAGTACTGATGTGTACCTCGCTAAGTGGCCAGGAGCTCAGCTGCCACAATAATGTTGAGGGAATAGTTGGGAATTAAGGGACTAAGGGAGCCCCTAGTCCTTCCCTCTCTCCATCTCTCTTTTCTTCCTTCCTTCTCTCCTTCTGTCCATCCTTCTCTCTCTTTCCATCTCTCTCGATCCCTCTTTTCTTTTCCTGCTGCTAAATTTCTTTGAACCAGCATATTTGCTAACATTTAGAAAAAAAATTAACACTTCATTGATGGTTCTTCAACAAAGAGAAATATTTGACATTTTGAACTATTTACAAAAATGCTTTACATTGACGGCGTTGCTCTGTACTCCCGTATGGACGTGACCTAGGGATAGCCAAGCCAAAGACAGACTGGGATCATCCTTCCCTGGTGGCTCATGTGCTGCTAGTTTATAGATTCAGAGTCTGACACCTGGATTTCATTACTTGTTCTAAAATGGTCCTAAGACTTGGTTGACGGGTTAAAGCTCTTTCCCCTTAGACAGGATTTTTCTCCTGCCTTTTGCTTCCTCAGCCCCTTTCTGAAGTATCCTATATTTTTTTTAAGTTTTTTTTTTTTTTTTCCAGTAATCTCTACACCCAATGTGGGGCTTGAACTCATGACTCAGATCCGAGAGTCACCTCTCCTGATGAAGCCAGCTGGGCACTCCTGAAGTTTCCCACATTCTATTCTTTCCTTCCTTCCCCTGGCAGTCAAGGTTGAACAAATTTAATCCAATCTTGCCCAGTGAGAACTGGAGTATCTCCAGCTTTCTGAGATTGTTCGTTCTTGTACAGCACGTTTTCTAAACCAGGAAAGCGAGCTCTTTGCCCATGAGACGTGGGTGTAAATCTAACTCTGCTTGTCCTGTGCTGCACTGGACATAACACCTAACATCTCTGAGTCATGTTATGATGATACCAGTAAGGACTTTGCTGGGTAACTGTGAGAAAAATGTCGCTTGGTAACGTGCAGCTTCAGCTTGATAATTGGCCTCACACTTCCGTCCAAACAGAGGGGGCTGTGACGTTCTGTGCCTCCTCACGGTTTCGTCCGTGGTAGATGACACTGTGTTTCTTGGAAGACTATATTACTGAGTGCCTATATCTCTCTCTCCTACTTGGCTTGAACTTCTCTCATGCTTTTTTTCACTGAATTCTGCTTTCAATAACTGTATTTCCCATCAATACCCGAGTAGATATGTTTGCTTGAAATTTTCTCTGCACTTAACACTACGTGAGGCCACTCATGAAAGTATTATCTTTACTTTTCCAAACCTAGAAAACATGGGTCACTATAGGAGATGACAAGCAACAATAAAGCTCTTCTCTATCAAGAGCAGATGAGCCATAACACAAAGTAAAGCTTTTCTGATGTGTTGGGAGAATAATCTGTAATGGCTATTGGAATTCTCAGTGTAGGCTTTATACACCTAAATTAATTACATGGATTTATGTGAACACAGATGCCTTTGGAGTTCTATAGAAACTATTTAAGTGGCTTAAAATGTGTCAGCATCGGAGTCAACTAGATTTTCAAAAATGGCACAAAGTCATAGCAAATCAGTCTAAATCATTCTGATTTTTATTTTCTTCTAAATTATCATTGACCTCTTATCTGGTACATAGACCAATAGGATCCCAGTGACAGTGGTCACTTGGACAATCTTTTGGTGTGTGAACCGTGCCAGGGTATGAGATTGAAGTGTGGAAGTCACGGTGGGGTTTTAGATTGGGTTTTTTGCAAAAATCAGTCATTGGCTTTGTGTGCATAATGCAACTGAAATAATCACCTGCTAAACTAGCCAATCTCTTGTGTCATGGTGTGACCATCCATTTGAAAGCCACTTTGAAAGGCTGTTGCACTTTTTTTAGACCCATTTCAGCATCTTTCTTGATAAAGTTGCAAATTAGCTTCTGGACGGTCCAACATACATACGATTCATTGCCAGACGAAATCATTGCTGTCCTTGTGAGTAGCAGTCATACTCCAAGCATTATGCCTGTATATTTCTGTGATGTAATGCTAGTAATTGTATTTGACAAAGATGCGGACTGAGAGACATTAATTACGTGAACAAAGGTCATACAGCCAGTAGGTGGCACAGGTGACATTGAACCAACGTGTGTTGTCGCCCAAAATGTGTGCTCTGCCACTGTGACTGCCTTGTTCTGTCTCCCGGAGGATCGTGCGTGGGGACACTGATGCCATTTTAATCACTTTTGACACACGTTGCCCTTATGCATTTTGATGTTAACTCTCACTAATTTTGCCTATTTTTTCGCAGGTGCACATATTCAATTTCTGAATTTTTCTACCGAAGCTAATCATGACTACCTTGAAATTCAGAACGGACCCCACCACGGCAGCCCCATGATCGGGCAGTTCAGTGGCACAGAACCCCCCTCCTCCCTGCTCAGTACGACACATGAAACGCTCATCCACTTTTACAGCGACCATTCCCAGAACCGGCAAGGGTTTAAACTCACTTACCAAGGTAAGGAATCAGCAAAAACCCAGATTTATCTCTTTCACTTAAACTGAATGGAAATAGCATCCTCCCCGACGGGTTACAGAGGTGCAGAGCTAGAACCACTGGTTCCCCGACTGGTAACAGACCCGGGGCTGCTCACACGGCGTAGACGCAGGCAGAGGCCTCAACGGGGATGGGGGCCACCGTACTGTCCTCACGTCTCCCCACCAGTCATGCCCTGCTGTGACCCACATCACACTCCTGAGCAGCTGGCCCCGCGTCACGCACACCTCCCCATCTGTCACGGTCCTCTGGCCGCCGGGGCGTCGCGTCCCCTCCGGACATGCCGGCGAATCCGGTCACAGCGGCAGCGGGGCTGGAGGCGTGTCTCCTGCACCGGCTGTTGTCAGAGCTCGAAAATAATGGCTGAAGGTATCAGTCGAGTCACTTCCAGTTACGCCAGGAAGAAAATCCAGTGAACCAACTTCGTTTTTATTTTTATTTATTTATTTAATTTTTTTTCAACGTTTATTTATTTTTGGGACAGAGAGAGACAGAGCACGAACGGGGGAGGGGCAGAGAGAGAGGGAGACACAGAATCGGAAACAGGCCCCAGGCTCCGAGCCATCAGCCCAGAGCCCGACGCGGGGCTCGAACTCACGGACCGCAAGATCGTGACCTGGCTGAAGTCGGACGCTTAACCGACTGCGCCACCCAGGCGCCCCCCAACTTCGTTTTTAAACTCTCTGAACTCGAGACTTGAAGACAAGTTTGAATCAAGCCTCATCCGACCATTTTTGACAAGAGAAAAAGTTCAGAGTTTTCATTTCGTACCAGACGATTTAGCTGGCAGTTCTTGGTTATCGTTAAATCCTACGAAGCTGGAAATGTCAACACAAGGGCTTTTCGTTTTTAAAAATCTTAATTAAATCACTCGCTTTCTTTAATTTCATCGACTGCCTTTGAAACTAAGGCTTTTACTGTTTTACTCAAAGATGACGCATTTTATGTTGAAGTTTCAGACATTGGTACTCAAGTTGTTACTTAAATATAAAATCTACACTTAGATTTCCAAATCTGGGGTCTCTTAAGATACAAAACCCCAGTAGGAGGGAAATAAAGGCTGGGGCAGGGAGGAATGCGGCAGGAGACGTGGCCAGAATGTTCTTGATGCAGGCGGTGTCCTTCATTGCTTCCCGCTGTACCCCATCCCCCTCAGGAAAGCATCGCTTGCACACACACACACACACACCACGTCTCTTTAGACATGTATTTTTAAGTTTATTTATTTCTTGAGAGAGAAAAGGGGAGGGGCTGAGAGAGGGAGAGGGAGAATCCCGAGCTGTCAGCTCAGAGGCCCACTTGGGGCTCAGGCTCATGAACTGTGAGATTGGGACCTGGGCAGAGGCCAAGAGTCAGAAGCTTGACCGACCCAGCCACCCTGTGCTTCTATTCATGTGTAATTGTCAGTGTCCCTTCGAGTCCCGTCTTCCTTCGGCCGCCACTTTCTAGGAGACATTGAAGCACTGTCTGCACCACCCGGCCTTCCGTGCTGCTATACCCCCCGCCCTGCGCCGTGGCCCGTGTTCTGTGGTAGCGTTCGGTGGTGTTCCTGCCTCTGGCCCAGGGCCCTGCCCCCTCCCTGAGGGCCCACACAGTCTCTTGACGATTCCGCTGCCCCCCCC